CAGTTTGCGAAGCACCGAAAATACATTCCCGGAAAAGAGGTCGCCACTTTTTATAGGTCAGAGTTGAAGGTGTCGGCCCTTCCCGGGGCCCTGCCGATCGGGCATGCGATCTATAAAAAGGAACGAGCTGCCCCCGCCTTCTTATCGCGTCACGTGATTCTGCACGCGACGTCATTCCTGACGTCATTTGTGACGTCATGAGCAGGTGACGAGGCTGCCTCTATCGGTGTGTGTGACTCACAGCGGCCGCCATATTTGCTTCTTTTCTGCTCCCCATTTTTTTTTTCTTCTTCTTTAACCCCGGAAGAGGTAATGTCGCCGCAGGTGGCGACCATTTTTAACTTTGAAAAGGGCGTTGCTGTTCTTTCTTCGGGTTGGAGCTTGATTGAAAGCCATTTCGTTTCAGTTATGAATGATACGAATTCGGCTGGCGGTCGCAAAAAGAATACATCGTTTTTCTTATGCCCAATCCGGAAGTGGTTGCGCGGTACTCGTGATCATTTTTTTTTTGTTCCCATGCCTTACTGTGAGTAAAGCGGAGGCATCGTTTTGCATGGCTCTCCACTATATAACGCAATACAGAAGTATGTCACTCGCGTAAACTTGGGTCGTGAAAAAACAAAAATACCGCAAAGTAGTAAAGTAAAATAATTTTAAAAAAACCCCAGAAGGAAGCATGACTTGCTGTAAAGGGAGGCATTCTGAGAACATGCAGAAATTTTGGAGTGCATAATATATACACAAAAAATATCGGTGGATACTTGGTGTTGTGAACATAGTGATGTGTTTAACACTCTGTTTCAATCGGAAGTAAGTCGGTACGTAACATATCCTAAATAATAAAATTGGTTGAAAAAGACAAACGACCTTAGTCACTGGCAGTTTAAGAAACGGAGAGTATGGCCAGGTCCGAGCATCGCATCATCCCCTCGCAGCCAATGAGATTGCTGCAATAGCCGATAAGATGGGCGAGGAACCAATCACGAAGGAAGAAGCGAAAATACAATAAACCCTACCCTGGCTTCCTTAAGCTATCAGAGAATATATACATCAACTCAACACCGAAGTCATGGCACTGCGCATGCGCAGATGCCTCGACTCGCGCGGATCTGGTTCCTGCGCACGCGGACTTATTTGTAAACATATTGGCCGATAGGTGTCGTACTACCCTGCACTCAACTGCAGGCACTACCCTCGCAACTCAATTTTGAAAAACGTATTCCAACCCTCGTCTCCAGTTTGTATGCTGTATCTATATATATATATATATATATAAAAGCTCGTTTATTTTATTTGCGCCGAATCTTTTCTTCCGACGTTCCCGTGCTACAGTGCCGCAAAAACGCTCACAGTCGCTCGCAAAATAAATAAATAATAATAATAATGTTGTTTTCCCACGGAGTGCACAAGCGTGGCCGTGCCCCCAAACAAACAGAAACACCCCTCTTGGTCAAATGGACACGCTGAGCAAACGGACATGCCTTTAAAAAAAAAAAAAAAAAACAAGCTTAGAGAAAAAACAAAACAAAAAAACAGGAATGCAATGTAAAACGAACCGCGCACGGCATAGTCGAACCGAACTGCCCGACATATCTGCCTCCTTTTTTTCTTTTTAAAAGTGGACTCCAAATGCTCGGGTAGGTGCGCACGTACACGATAAAGGCGTCGATGTTTTCCGGCGTTCGGGGAACGAAGGACGGGGGAGGTCGGGGTTCGGCCGGGCCCCGGCGACTCAATGGGCGATTGTAAAGGGCAGAGCGGCGCATAACGCGACCGCACCCAGTCGGCTTCATGCCAGTCCCCACCCGTGGCTGCCACGGGGAAGACGACCTGGGGTCCGGGCTCTTCCATTCCGTGAGTGCCGGGGCTGCATTCGGGAGGGGAACGGTTCTTTTTGGTCGCGGATCCACGCCCCCTCCAGCCCTTCCACCTATTTTTCCTTTTTTTCATTACGGTCTGAACATTAAGATCGTGAAGAGAGAGAGAGATCTTAAAGGTTAAGTGCGATTTTCTTCCAATACGTTGCTTGCACTGACATCACATCAGTGGCGATTTGGAAGGACCTAAACTGCTGCAAGGCCCTTCACAACATCAGCTGATTTGACGTCAGTGAAACCGACGTAAAGAAACGAATCGCCTATAACGTTCAAGATGTCTCCTAACGTTCCTAACGTTCAGTCTGCACTAAGAAGGAAAAAAAAAAAAACAGGAAAGGGGCGAGAGGGGAGGAAGGACTGCACACGTACCTTATGCACCGTTATATGGTCATCGTACCAATAATGAATTTCAACTAGTAGCCGCCACTGTTCTTCATTTTACCTATACATAGACATAATTGGAGTCATCTACTGGCGACCATAAGACACGGGTCTGTGCTCAATTTTTGCACCAAGTCCGACCGCGGCCTTCCGCGGTCGGACCTTCTGCGTGCTGCCATCTTTGTCTGCTAAGTTGAGGAACGCATTCTGAGCATGCGCCGTTGCTCTGCTCTGCGGCATATCAGACGCTGCGCATGGGTCCACGGCTCAGTGACTCAGCATTTTTCGCCCGGGTGATACGCGATGCAAAGGTCTGTGGGGAACGCCAGTTCGTCTGCTTCTTTTGCAGGGGGCTGTGGTGACGTCAGAACGCCGAGCTTTGATTGGCTCTGATTGAAGGGCAGTGGGTACAGTAGACTTCAAAGCAAGCAGCCTTTTGGTCTACCCACTATCCTTTAATCAAAGCCAATGAGAGCTCGGCACTCTGAAGTCACCACAGCCCCCTGCAAAAAAAGCAGACGAAGTTGCACTCCGCATCCGATTTTATGGAACCCAATCAAACAGCGCGAAAAGTGCTTCGTCACGACAATCGTCGCCTTCGTCCGTTTGCTACCGACAGATGAACCAATCACGCACAATACATACGGCGTCATCTTTTTTTTTTTTTTTTTACATGGTTGATTCCGCCGTTGATAACGAGCTCACAAAAGCGACGAGCTTCGTCAGATCGTACAGCGTGGGCTGCGCTTGGATTCGATGTAAAATGGAGTATTAGAAAGACACGGTCTGGTCGGTTGCACGCGTAATTTTGTTTCCGCTACGCTCCGTTTCATTTTCAAGTCCATGGGACCAACCAGACAGCGTCGAATGCGCAAAATCTTGGTGCCCGTTTATGTTTCTCTACGCGTGTCTATCATCGCTGAACCGATCACAAACAAACAAAAAAGCCGAGTCACTTGCGCTTTCGACGCTGTTTGATTGATCCCATCTGCTCCGTACTCCGTACCCGAGCGCCTACTGTATCCGTATCGGACGTGCAAAAACTGTTCCCTAAAACTCCTTATTAACCGTTTTTAAACACGCTCGAAGCACAGATGTATGAAGTAACCGTGCTTTCGAACGTGCGGCGAGGCGTGTAGGCAGATAACTTTGTTGTCACGTCTGCGGGGACCGCCGTGTCTTCTTGTATGACGTAGGAGCAGTGTGTGGGTGCGGCGTTAGGAAACAGTGCAAATAAGCCTTCGTATTGAACTGTCACCGATCTCGGGCTCTAAATAAACATCTACCAAAGCCTTCGGGTAAGCGGTCGTTGACGGGAGCGAGTCAAATCGGACTGGCGTGAAATACGGACCCTGTGCAACTCGTTTACCGAGCTCTATTTGAAACGTTGTGCGAATTCGACGTGGTGCTGTCGCGCTTAAGTCGGTGCCAAGGTGCATTGCCGATGTCAGTACCGATATGGCAGTCAGCGTTTCTTTTTTTATTTTTTTTTATTTTATTTTAATGTTATCTTGTTTTTAAGACGCGATAGTATTTTTTTTATAACGTTGTTTGATAGGTTAAAACTTAATGCTCTATTTAAAACCGAACGCGGAAGAGAAAAGGGATAGATTTTTTGTTGTTGTTTATTGTGAAGCGAAGGTAATACGTGTTTGATATTTACAACTTGAGGAAGCTTGGTTACGTTCGGGACGAAAGTATTAGAAACCTTTTTCTGAAACGAGTATGATTGGGGTGTATCGACATTTCTGTGCGAAGAGTATTGTTTATCCAGTAGTAATTATATCATGGGGTGAAACATGTAGTTGGTGTACTGGTGTGTAATTAAAATTAACTGTTGGGATAGTTGGCTATACATTGTTAAAAATCCTGTCCCCTCTTCTTTTCTTGGTATTTTCGCTTTTGATTTTTAACAATGGTGTATAATTATTGTCATCCAAAATGCAGAAATTTTGATGATACACAGATTCTGAATAATTAAGCATTGCACTCTTTCAACGTCAGGTGAAGTTCACACCGGGCATATATTCTTGACGCCGTGTGGCTCGAAAAAAATTCTGAGTCGATTCGATCGATGTTTAATTTTGTTCACAAATAGCAACACATCTTCTAGTACGTTGCATTGTATATGTAAATATGGCATGTTGAACAACTTAAGGCATCCAGCTATGCCTTGCTCAAACCCAATCATTACTTCATTTCTGAAACGACGGGAGTCGAGAGCCGGATCAGTTTCGAGAACTTGGCAGAGCTTAACGAATGTTGTTAGGTTAGGTTACGTTAGGTTACGTTAGGTTAGGTTAGGTTACGTTACGTTAAGTCGTGTAATTAGGCTACGTTAGATTACGTCAGGTTAGGTTAGGGAAGGTTGAGATAGGTTAGGTTAGGTCATGCTACGTTACGTTACGTTAGGTCGTTTAATCAGGATACTTAAGATTATGTAAGGATATGTTAGGTTTCGTGACGTTACGCTACGCTGGGTTAGGTAAGGTTAAGTTACGCTACGCCACGTTACGTTAAGTCGTTTACTTAGTTTATTCTAGATCAGCTGAGGATAGGTTATGTCACGTTACGCTAGGCTCAGTTAGGTTAAGCTACGCTAATGTCACGTTAAGTCGGTTAATTCGGTTGCGTTAGATTAGGCAAGGATAGGTTGGTAACGTTATGTTATGCTACACTAAATTAGGTTAGGTCAAGTTCGTTTACTTTAGGTTAGATTAGGTTAGGTTGGTTATAAACCGGTCACTGATTGGCCGTACATGTGGCACAATACACAGTAAAATGCAACTGAGTTCACTTGAGCTTCCAATGATGCCCATCTGCTTCCTCTTTCATTGCAGGTAACTTAAGAGCTGGTTCTGTGCCTGGGACGCTCATCGGGATCCGTTGCTGCAGTCGCGGAGCAGTCGTGGACCGAGGGCCTCCAGGTCCAAAGGTGCGTGCGCTGACCACAATGTTCAAAATTAAAAAAAAAGAGTTAAAATTGCATCTATTACGACCAGATCCGCAGCAGCCAGTGAAGGCTGCTTCAGACACTTCGGTTTGAGTGCGATCGAGTGCGTTGCAAACTTTCGCGACTGATTACCACGAGAGAACAGTCTAGTGATAGCCAATCGGGTCGACCCAGAGCGCAACCAATCTGCATATATATATTTTTTTTTCTTACTTTATATTTTTTTAGATTGGGCCTGAACAAATTGTGACAGCGTTATTATAACCGTACATTTTTCACGATTAGTGCTTATATTTGACGTCCCGAACACTGGAAAACCTAGTCGAGAGCTTTCTGACTTTGATAACACTTTGCCGAACGCGCAGTCAAAGCCAGGCGAAAGACGACGAGCAGTGGCAACAAGCTCTGGAAGCGGAGCATTTATCAGGTTCTTAACGCTTCGCCAGCTGTGGATGTACGCAGATTGGAAGAGTTTTCGGCGCTAGCTGATAAGTGGCGCCACCTTGCTTGTGTGTTTTCTTGTCGTGAGCGGTCACGCGAGGTTTCGACGCAGTCGATCACGCCCAAGCAAAAACGTGTGAACTGGCCTTAAGGGCGTGTTCCGTAGCATACCGGTGGTGTGAACAGCGCGCACAACGGAGTTCATTTGAATTTGATATCTTTTTTTTTTATCCAGGTAGCTTATGAAGTTCCTGAGCAGCAAATCAGAGGGCCTTGTGTATTGGGTCTTGCACTTAACGCGCAATAGTTTTTTTTTCCTGAAAGCAAAACGCGCATCCTACAGACGAATAGATAACTAAAATGTGGTGTGTACGTATGTGTGTGTGTGTGAAGGAGAGAGAGAGGGAGAGGAAGGCGCGACAAACAAAACTAAGCTGTAGCCAAGAGAAATGGTCTAGTCCGTTTATTTCTGAAACTCTGTTTGGAAATTTAGCCCAATCAGAGAAATTGTGAGCCCTGGATGTTAACATTAATTTAAGAAATGTAGTGTTTTAATTATTATATTTACTATGGTAGGAGATAGCGAATGCCGAGTCACGTTAAACTTGAAGGAAGAATTTGCCGTAAATTGAAACACTATTTTTTTTAATGCAACGTTTTTTGTAGAATTATGTTGGAAAACGTAGCGAAGGAAGAAAGGGCGCCTTTCTTTTGTGTAGTTATGGCGATAAAAATTAAAAAAAAAACTCCGAAGCTGAATTTGAAATTGTGCTTTTGTTTGAGTGATTTCCTGGAGATGGGATATATCGGAGCCACTGCGCTATATACGTTTAGAGTATCGACACTTTATTCCTCGATTATCCTTTGGGCGCCGCCATTTTGGTGCTATTCAGAAGTTCGCGCCTATCCGCCATCGCTCTGTCACCGCTTGAGCCTCTTCGGACCGTACCTAGAACGCACGCGGAAAGTCGCCTATATATATATATATGTGTGTGTGTGTGTATAAATGGTGTCCCAAGTCACCAGGCACGATCGAAAAATGAACCGTAAACATTGACGCCTGCACGTAGTAATCTAAACTTTTCGTCAAAGGTGTGTTTCGCAGGTCGGTTTTTCTTTGTAAAATTAGAAAGCGTAGCTCCCTTTCTGTAAAAGGTAGGGACAATAAACTTGCCAGGGTGAAGGGCGGGCGGCGACGCAGACGACCAAGTCGGGTTGCGGGGCGCGTTTGGTGGGCGTATTGATAGTTACGATTTGAAAATGCGACTTCCTAGCTACGTGCGTTCTATAGGCACGGTCAGAAGAGGCTCAGGCGACATCTCTCTTCCTCTGTTAACAATTTCGAAGGACAGAAAGACGTCTTCTCCGATTCCAGATAAAGTTTCAGGTAACTGTCAACTACGTTTCTGGGCACCGAGATGGCTAAGGCGTCGTTACTTCGAATCGTAGGTTATTCGTTGGCTCTAAGATATACTATCCCCCTGATGCGTTTCAAGTAGTCAGAATCCGACGGGAATCGCTCAACGCAGAAGGCCCGCATTTAAAACACCGTTATCTCTAATTCGTTTGCAACTACGTGGCCATTCGAAGCGATAAACGTGACTCATAAAATCGATCTCTTCGTAAAACGAAACTTTACCGCGGGTACGAGTAAAGCACACACATACATATACATGCACGAAGTAAAAAAAAAAGAGAAAAAGAAAAATGGATATCCTCTCATTTCACTTTTATGCACGCAAGCGAAACGGCAGGTCCTTACAACCAAAGTCAATGCTCTCCTCTCGGAAGCGAAGGTCAGAACGCATTCATGGAATCACTTAAGGGAATAGCATGCGAGCCGTACTCGGCTCTCGTGAATTCCTCCATGGTCATTAAACCTTTTTCGTTTCGATCTTTCGTATCATACTTACTTTTTTCTCAAGATGGGGAAAACCATGAATGGACTAGGTTAGAATCGAATCGTAAGAATGCTTCATAATGGATTTATTGAGTTCGGTTCCAGCGGGGACATACTTAGAGGTCAGCAGGCATGTTTTTTTGCCCGGCGGAATATGAGCAACTCTTTGAGCGAACGTTATTGAAGGTAGCGCGGGATGTTAAGACTGGCCTTTTCGACTTGCTTGGTTACAAAGGCTTGAACTTCACTTTCCGTGAGTAAGTTAAGTAGGGCGCCCTGGTTTTTTCGGCAGTTCTTTATTGATCTTTTTATTCGAATTAAAGTAAAATAAGGAGCGTTACTTTGTTATATTTCTTTTTGTAAGCGTGTCTGTACACCACCGGTCATAAGTGCTTAAAATCATACCAAAAAAAAAAATTATTACAAAGCTTAATTGAGCGGAGTCGTGTACTTATTTTTTTTTTCTTGGAAAATATTTTGTTTACTACCTTGTCTCTTTCTGCATAACAAAGTCATAGTACGGCTGCAAAAAAATCGATTTGTTTCTAAACGTGCAAGGGTCGTATATTTGTCAGTTTAAATACTTTGAGTAAACACGAGAGTTCTAAGATACAGGAAAGTGTAATGGTGTGGGGAGATGAAAACGTTCACTGCAACCGCCTACCTGCTTCCTTTCTGTGGTTCCGTCCGCCCTGTCCGTGTCTAAACTTAATAAGCAGCCGTTTTTATCGCTTGTTAAAAAGACAATGCTTGAAACGTTTAGGAATGTACTGTGCGTTTTCCTTATTGCCTGGCACAATAGACAGGCTAAAATGAGCACATTCTTTTAAATCTTACTTTCTCCTTTCGTTTTTTTTTTTTTTTCTTTTTGCCTAACGCGATTCAATTTGCGTCCAGCAATTACGTCCGGGCTAAGTTAATTACCCGAGAGATTGCTTTTAGATTTATTTAGCGCTCAGACGTTTTTGTTTTGGTTCTGTCACCCATGAAAGAAATTGAAAGATAAAGACCCGACCACATTAATTATAGATTTAATAATGTTGTTTCCAGGAAAGAAAAAAAAAGTGTTTAAAGTCGGCATTCTGCTTTTAAAAGTTAGTTTGCACGTATCTCGAGAGATGTTAGGTACGTATGCCCTTCACGTTTATATTTTGCTTCCTGTTTTATTTAAAGAAACAGTCGTGTAGTTGTCTATCATGCCATGTTGAGAACAGGTGACTGAGTTCTAAGTATGAAAGCATCGAAGATATGCAGCGGTGAAAACAAAAATACCATAATTAACAAACATTTAGAGACAGGTAAACATGAACCTGCTAAATTTAATTCAGATGTTAGCAACGCTGGTTACAATTTCCTATGTTTTCAGTAGAATAGATGAGCTTCCAGAAATATTAATCTGTCTTGTTATAGTCACTGACGATTTGAGAATCGCAAGGGCATGGCATATTACCTTCGCGCTTCGTGCTCCCCGATTGGTTCATTGCGTTCTTATTGTGTTATACCGCAATCCTATTATGTGCGGAATAATATTAAGATTCTCTACACCCTCGACGCCCTGAGGTTCTTAAGATGTCTGTGACTATAGCACGCAAAAAATGCGTTTCCGCAAATACGTTACAGTCATTTTTCTAGAGCTGTTAGAGGAAATTAGTTGATTGGCATTTACGAACAAAACGCAAGGACGCAAGTGAGCAGGGGTGCTATCTTGCGCTTTTTGGACTCCCAGGAGACTAGGGAGAGGGAAGTGACGTCAACGACACAGCAAACGCAGATTGGGTGTTGATTTCGTTTTCTTCTGTCAACATCCAATCTGCGTTTGCTCTAGTCGTTGACGTCACTTCCCTCTTCCAAGTCTCCTGGGAGTCCAAAATGCGCAACATAGCACCCCTGGTGTAAGTTCATAACTGCAGAATTAGCCGAGACTGCGGTGACGAGAGAGAAACGACAGGAAGTATTCTTCTCTCGTCAGCGCAGTCTCAGGTATTTCGAAAATTATGAATGGCATGTTCGCCGCCAATCGAATCGATAGTAGGAATAGAATTGGGCTGGTATGTTTTTTTTACATTTTTTTTGTGGGAGAATTGAGATGAAGTGTTACGATGGTAAACCATTGCAATTAGGATGGTCGTGGTGTGAGAGTGTGTTTTCACTGTATTACCCCATGTCGCGTTCTGTGGATGCTGTGCCTTTGGGACTCCTTTCTTTTCGGGCTTTGGCAACATTCTCTGTCGCCTGCTTGCGGCTTGAGGTCGGGTGATCTCTTTCTCTGCACATACACCTTCTGCCTTCTAGTCTGCGACGACCTGTACATGCTTACCGATACGAAGCTGCTAACACAACTGATATCTGAACGTTTGTGTTGTATTAGTGTTTTGTTTGCAACGGACGGAATTCATAACGCCTTACACGGTCACGTCATTTCGTGTTCTTCGCCCTGAAAGCATAGAGTCTTCACGATAAGTATACACTTGGTCAGAGAAATTGGGTGTTTTTGGTGTGGAACAACGAAGCTTCCGCTGTATTTGTTCTACAATCACGAGATGCTCGTGTGTGCGCGAAAGTAGTTTCCACTGTGCAAATGGGACGTTTTTTTGTCTCCAGTTTGGCGGGCGGAACTGACGTCATGCGCAAGCGTTGTATG